ACATTGACAAATTTAAACGGAATTCCCATATAATTAGTTATCCATGTATAATTAGTTATAATTTGAAAATAAAAAGTTTGTTTTGTAGCTACTATATCTCATACTGCTCAACACAATAAGCACAATTTTTTTTAAATCTTCCCTTATTGATTTAAGTTATTCTAATTGATATCTGTATGAATTAAATAGCCTCTCTATTTTGAAATTCTCTAAACAGTTCACTTATTTAACAATTTATACAGATAATCAACAGCCACTTTGGATAAATTTAATTAGAATTCAAGGTGACACGTATTATGATATTCCCTTTTTCTAATTTCAAAAATAATTTTATTTATTATCCATAAAATTATAGGTACTGTTTTTTGGGATAGCGAGATTTTTCGTTTCTTTGACCACTTTCAACGTTTCTTATGGATTTATAATTTTTTTTTAAAACTTTCTTTCACAAGCTACTATCATTAGCTTACTTCTTTTGTATGATATTTTTTTATACATAATATTTATTTAAATATATGCCTCACTTTGCTTCTTGTTCTGACCGCCTCCTGTCTCTTTATGAAAGCGTTGTTGGATTGCCAGACTTAAGTGGATGGATTAACTGATGCCATTTGTTTCTATCTTGTTCTTCGTAGTTATTTTTTATGATATCTGTTGTCCTGTAAATTTGCCATTTTAATTAACAACATTTATTTAAATTTCTTTTAAGGGCAAATAATTATATAATTAAATAATATAAAATTGTTCAAAAAGATCGTCTGAAGAAAGTAAGAACAATTTTATTTCAAACTGAAAACGAGTTTTTCAAGAAATGAAAATCGTTTGGAATTTTATTGTTTTTATTTTTTTAAGATTCCTTTTAATCATTTTGTTCATACATTAAATTTTATGTAAGAACCAAATGCATGTCGGACCAGCCGATTATTTACTTTGTTTTGAATAAGTGGGTTATCTGTTTCTGTTTAAATTTTTTTTTTTTTTTTTTTTATTAATATTTTCATTTTTTTTATATTTTCTGTATTTATATTTTCAATTTTTTTTTTTTATTTATATTTTCATTTTTTTATTTATATTTTCAATTTTTTTATTTATATTTTCAATTTTTTTTATTTATATTTTCAATTTTTTTTTTTTTTTTATATTTTCAATTTTTTTTTTTTATATTTTCAATTTTTTTTTTTTTTATTTATATTTTCAATTTTTTTTTTATTTATTTTCAATTTTTTTTTTTATTTATATTTTCAATTTTTTTTTATTTATATTTTCAATTTTTTTTTTTTTTTTCAATTTTTTTTTTTTTATTTATATTTTCAATTTTTTTTTTTTTATTTATACTTTCAATTTTTTTTTTTATTTATACTTTCAATTTTTTTTTTTTATATTTTCAAATTTTTTTATTTATATTTTCAAATTTTTTTTTTATTTATATTTTCAAATTTTTTTTTTAATTAATATTTTCATTTTTTATTTTTTGTTTCATTTATTTTTATTAATTTTTTTTTTTTTTTTTCAGGTTTGTGTTTAATTGCCTTAGCTATCCGAGAAGATGAATACTTAGATCAATGGAAAAGCCGTGCAAAAGTATTTGTGGCATGCTTAATGATTCTCTTTGGAACTTTCGTTTTTGGTGTAGTTTTTACAAAAGTTATTATATACGACATGCTGAACAAGACTACTAAAGTGGTGCATTCTAAATGCTAGTGGTGCGCCAACTATATTGGTTACAATATTCCATACAACACATATTCTTACGTAAAAGTTCTTGCCAGCGTGTTTCATTTGTCTTTTTGTACGAAGCATTTATTGTGTCGTAACTAGCGCAAAACGATGTAAAGTACCGATTTTTATACTGGAAATTTTGTGCTGATATGTCAGTTGAAATGTATATTTAAACTATGACTTTAACATGTTGAGTATTTTATTATTCAAATTAACAGCTCTAATTATCTATTATAGAAAAAAGTAATATATTGTATAAAGTAGGATATTACGTAAAAACGGTTAAAAGATGATTCACTGAGTTAAATAATTTGGATGCATTTCTTATTTGTAAAATTTTTGTTTTGTTTGTTTATTGTGTTATTACATTATATTTGAAATAATAAGTTTTATTTGTAATATTAAAATACATTGTAGAATAAAATATCATTGTAAAATTTTTAACATTATAAAAAGAACAGAAAATATTACTTTTAGTTTAAAATTTTGCAATACACAGAATAAAAATGTAAAAATATGTAATAGCTTATTCTTCAAAACAACTTTATATATATATATATATATATATATATATATATATATATAAGTAAAATAAATATATATATAATAAATATAAAATAAATAAGTCAAATATAATAATAAGTAAATAATAAGTAAAATAAGAAAGTCAATTTTAAATTAGTTTTATTCTTTCTTTTGTCATAATAATTTTTGCTAAATTAAAAAATATTTCTGGATTTAATGAGAAAAATGTTAATTTATATAGTAAAATAATAAATTAATAAATAAAGAATTGTTAAACTGGTAGGTAAGTTGTTATTGACAAATTAAAAAAAAAATTGCCCCTCAAAGAATAAAATATTTGTTTATATTTAATTTCTTGGGCTATAAAATATTATAGTTAAACATGTAAAATGTATTTAAAAAATGGCATTGTCATTAATAAAATTTCATGACTTGAAAATATTAGTTTATTTTGTTTGCGTCTGCATCTATATTAAAATTTTAAAAAATGTGGTCAACATGCATATAAATAGCATTATGAATATAAATTGCAAGTACTTTTTTTTATGTCTAAAGGCTAATTTTTATCAAAATATGTAACACTTGATTACAAATGAATTAAAAATTATATATATATATATATATATATTTTTTTCCTTTGTGCGAAATTGTTAAAAAAATTTGTGGTGTTTTAAAATATATATTTTTTTTTTATATTTCAATAACTTTTAAAGTTTTTATTGATTTAAGATATGGCGTCTTTTATTAAAAATAATTTAGCTATATTTTTTAAATTTCATTTCTACTTAATTCTGGGTAATATATAATTTCTACTTAATTAATGAGTGATATTTAGAAGAAATTGTGGCGTATTAGTACAAAACAAAGTCACAAGCATTTCAATAATATACATATTCTTCACTCAACATCTATTTTGCAACAGCATTTAAAAAAACTATCTTCATTTTTATTTAAATCATTCAACTAGCTATTTTTGTTTAAATAATAATAAATTGAGCTGTTAAATTTATGTTAAGACTACTTTATTATGCAGGATGATTATAATTAAAGTCCCACTTTCAAACTGCTGTAGAAAAAGATAATGAGTTCACAATGAGTTCAAATTTGAACTGAAGATACTTGAAGAAGGGGAAACAGTACAGCATCATAAAAGTTCCAAAGTATATTAATAGATGAAGCTGTAAACGGCATAAAGAAATTGAATTCGGCTGCCAGTGATATTTTGAATCGAAATTACTACGTATTTGGCATGAGTTGCACATTAAACCAAATGCAGTGTTCAATGTGCTTGAGTTTTTTTTTTTTTTTTTTTTTTTTTTTTTATTTGACGGAAAAATGACATCCAAGTCATTTAACAGTTGTGACACTGTTAGTGGAAAGCTCATCCACCCCGGCAAGGTTTTAAAACAAATTGGATCGGAAAAATCGGTGGAACTTTTTTTTGATGTTATACTGTTTCCCCCTTCTTCAAGTATCGTTAGTTCAAATTTGAAATCATTGTGGTGAGTGTTTCTTTTTTTTTTTTTTTTTTTTTTTTTTTTTTTTTTTTTAATATTTTTTATAGCATTTTGAAAGTGGAACTTTAATTATAACCTTCCTGTACTTCAAATTTACTTTTACTATGTTAAGAAGATACTTTTTTTTTATTTTTTTTTTTAATGATTCTGATTTTTAAAATTCTTGCTTAAGGTTCAATGTGATTTTAAGAATTTAAAGCATATTATTTAAGTAATTATTTTCTAATTTTCATGAAAACTGATTTAAAAAAATAATTATTCTGAATTAAAAGTTAATTTCAATGTTATGTTTTAATTAACAATGTTTTTAGTTTATGTATGCATACTATTGTCATTATCTTAGATGCATTAAATAAAAAAAACAAGCATACATATTTGTATTCTGCAAATGTTTTTATGAAGAATGGGTACAGAAGAATTAAAAAAAGCTTATTTAAAATTTTTGAAAGCTGCCTCTTATACTGGTATACGTACACAGGTTAGTAGATGTATGCAAATTAAAGTTTAAATTATAGTTTTTACAGTAAAAGAAAGTTGTAATTTTATATTTTGCTTTTACATGAAAAATTGCTGTTTAACTTGAAAGTTTATATTTATCAAAAATAAATTTTTAATTTTGATAAATGAAATTTCTGCCTCTCCCTTCACGTAAAATCCCCACTCTAAAAAACTGCATACAGCAAAGTATTTAAAAATTTCTGAAAACTCTACTGTTTAAACTAGAATATAGATTATTTTTCGGATTAAAAGGCTATAGTGCTAGAAATGTTAACACAAGGGTGGCCAACACAAATGATCTTGAGGGCTACTTTGGAAATGCATCATAACTCTGCGGGCCGCATATAAAATTATTTATCCCCATATTAGATTTAGATCCACTATAGACATTTTTTTAGAGTGAAAAATTGAAACATGATGAGTTACTATTTCGAGTTTATTATTAATCTTGCATGTTGTTGTTTCTTATCCCACTTGGCTGGCCAAGCCCACGATCCCATACGTACTCATGATTGAAGGGGAAGGAAGCAGCTTCTGTTGTGATGGAGCACCCGTAGGTAGAAATCTGACTTTGGCTCCGTGACGCTGTTACAGTCATAGGAGACCGGGACCTACGGCTTAAAGTGGATTCGAACCACTACAAACATCCATGGCACCGCCGGGATTCGAACCCGAAACCTGGGGCACCGAGCGCCAGAGCGCTAGATACTCGACCATTCAGGTCCCAAATTTGTGAATGCCAACGGCACGCGGTGTTCCCAGGTGGTCACCCACTCAAGCGCCCAATGATGCTTGACTTCGGTGATCTAACGAGAACAGGTATATTCAGCATGGTATGGCCGTTGGCCCATCTTGCATGTAAACATGGATAATCCACTCTTTCAGTTAGCTTTCGCAAATCGATCTCAATTTGGGTATTTGCACATCGCACATTGTGTTGCAGAGCTTCCATTATGTTTGAGCGTGTTTTTTTGTGTTTGGTCAATTTCATTTTCAAAAAAAAACGATTCGCAGGTGTAAGTTGAACCAAAAGTGCTAACAACTTGAACTGAGAGTCTGGTTTGCTCTGCTATCAACAATCAATTGTGCCTATTTAGGGATAATCATTCAAATCACTTAACGTTTTTTGCTGAATTGCGCCAGTAAAAAAAAAATATTACATTAGATGTTCCAAGATGTAATCTAATTATTCTGCGAACTCACAACTGTAAACTCATAATTAAAAGACAATATCTGTCCTATATTCGCAAGAATATTATTTTAAAATCAAAGTTCATTTTTTTCTCATAATTTCGGCAGTTAATTTTTGAATATAGGGATACACACATAATGTATTTTTTTTTTTTAATACATTGGTTTTCACTACTTCAGCCTTTATAAAATAAATATATTTTGTAAAAGTGTGATAAATCTCACGGGCCAGAAAAATATACAAGCTGGGCTTGGCCACCCCCTGTATAAAAACCCTTAATCAAATTAAGAAATCATTCTCAATAAACTTTATTGATAATAATTCAAAGTATATATTCTTGCTGGGTATTTTCATCCCCCCCTTTTTTTTTGTTTTTACTATCCCTGAAATGTACTCTACCTTGCGTGAGTGATTCACTCCCATAAAACCTTGAACAGCGGCGCATGCGTTCGGGTTGATTGGCATAGAGGGTCGGCGTGAATGACCTCGTGGGGTGGGTCAATGACCATTGAGGGAGGCCCACTTCCACCAAGGCCGAATTTTCAGATCTGGTGCGCGTCCACTTTCCCTATCGCCTGTGGTACGTTTTCTGGTTCAGAGGAAGAGTCCGTTTCGAACGAGGGGAGGGGGGTTGTAGAAGTTTGACTAAAAGCAGCAGGATTTTGAACTCTTCAAGTTGCCTCCCTTTTGGCAGATTTACGATCGATTACAATTCATTTCGGCTTGTTTTTCTTTTTGATGTGAGAAAAATTATTCTCTAGGTTATATTAATAATAAATTACAGTGCAGGAAATGTTTTTCTTTATTATTTTAATTATTTAATATTTGAAAAATATTAAATAATAATTCAAAAATAAAGTATTTTCAAATATTTTTTATTTATTTCATTCTTCCGCCCCCTACACATTCTGTGTTTAATTGCGAAATTTGCGGAATATTATGAGAAAATTAAGCGGAGGGAGAAATTTATTTGGCTTTTTAAATAACTTTTTTGCATAAGAGAAATTTCAGAATCTTTATTGTTTTAGCGCTCGGTACCGCAGGTTTCGGGTTCGAGTCCCGGCGGTGCCATGGATGTTTGCAATGGTTCAGAATCCACTTTAAACCGTAGGTCCCGGTCTAATAGGATCGTAGACCGTTGCGGGGGCATTGTTACTCCGCGTCCGTGTCTTATCTTCAAATTACGCGCCCCCTGGGTACTGCAAAGTGAGTAATGTCTGTGCAGCGCTTGGCACCAAGCATAACTTAAGGCATCCAAGACCAATCTGTCTAAGTGTTTGCCAGCTGCATTAGAACAAAAAAAAAAAAAAAAAAAAAAAAAAAATTATTGTTTAAAAAATAATTTATAAGTTTAGATTCTTAGAATATCAGATAATATAAATAGTCTTAAAAAATAATATTGAAAAAAAAATGGTTATTAAATTTATTTAAAAAAAAAATTATTCCTTATATATTAAAAGTATTTTTCACTGTTACCCTTCTTTTTTTAGAAGTATTAATTTGTTAAAAAAGTCAATATATATTTTTAAAATTTTCGCATATCTAATATTCGTTTTAGGATTCTTGATATGCATGTACAAAATTTATTATACGTATGTATATATATAACTTCTCCGTTTATTGTTTTCTAAAACGAGGTTTGGTTTGTCTACTCTCTACGGTCATTTTGAGCACACGTTACGCTAAACAGACCGGGACCTAAAATTTAAAATGGGTTCCGAACCACTACAAACATCTATGTTACGCCGGGACTCGAACCCGAAACCTGTGGTACCGAGCTCTAAAACGGGGGAGAATCGATGGCAATTATGAAGCGTGCATTAGCATATCGCATCGACACTCAGGATGCCCGGTGAGGAATTTCTCTCGTATGACACTCGAAAATTGGACAAGCATCCTAAATATTGTTCCAAAAACCAACATCCTTAATTTACCTGGTCTGTTCATGATATACGAAAATATGATATACAAGCTTCACAGATGTGCATTTACAGAAAAAAATTCATAACTTTTTAAAATTTTATTTAAAAATTATGACACAAACAGTTATATTACAATTATATTAACAATTTCTGTCACAAAATATATCACTAAGGGGAAAAAAAAAAAAATTTTTTTTTTTTTTTGAAAACTGCAAATAATTTGTAAGTAATTGAATTTTAAAAAAGTATAATCCGAAAATCTACAAATTTTTAGAGTTAACTTGAGAATCCATTATTACATTAGTGATTCTACGCTCGAAAAGCGCGCCGAAAATATGGCAATAAAAGAAAAACGGGGGGGGGAAAGGCGGGAAAGTGAAAGTGAAATAGGTCGCCCATCAAGTGAATGAACGCTCTCCACCGCTTTCACTTTCATTTACCTTCTGGAGGCCGTGGACCTAGTTAACTCTGAATGGAATAACCCGTCCTTTGTTACAGAGTGCCACAAACTGCGAATCACCCCTCCGAAGGTTCATTCGAACTTTTGATGTCAGGTGAAAGTGAGTTTACTTTCGAGTACTCCGCTTGACATTTTTTGTAGGTCAAGTCGCGTGCTCACTGTAGGGTTCACTGACAGGTGATGCTTCGCAAAAAGACCTTTCGACCTAAAATATCGTTTGGAATGACGAAGTGGGCCGATACAGATGAGGTCGTGGTACAAAAGCAATATTGTTAAATGTTGAACTCGTCTTTTTATATTTTGATAGTGTGAATAATGCTATTGTTATACCATTTATAAAGTTTTTTTTATTTAAAAGATTTTAAAACAATATTTTTTTAAATCAAAAATTTGTTTTTCTGAATTTTTTTTTTTTTTTTTTTTTTACGTGGTTTGCTATATTTAAATAAAGAAAATAAATTTAATTTAATTTAATTTAATTTAATTATAATTACATTATTTTCTTTATCTAAATATAGCAAATCACATAAAAAAAATTTTAAAATACAAATTTATGATTTAAAAAGTTATTGTTTTAATATCTCTTAAAATAAAAAAAAAAAAATTTACAAATAGTATAACAATACATAATTATAATTTAATTAAAAAATTATAATAATTAAATTTAATTTAATTATAAGTATAATTAAATTTAATTAACATAAGATAATAATTGTTTATTTTGTAAAGGTAGAATAAAATTTAAATATTCTTTTCTATAATATTTGCTCTAGATCTGTACACATAATGACATCACTTCTTTTTTTTTTTTTTTTTTTTTTCAAATCAAGAAATTCAGATGAATGTTGCTCGTTTATGAATTTAAAAATAAATGAAGAAGGAAAATGTATAATTTGAAATTATTTTAACAACACTGTACAATACATGGCTATAATTTCGAAAATCATTTTAAGTAATTTTTTTGATTTAAATTAACTATGCTGTTCAATATTTAATTAACTTGCGACAGAAATTTAAAAAAGCAAAAAGGCAATAGCAGGTTATATTACTAAATATATATAAATTTATCATAAATAGTTCATTTTTTTGATATTAATATCACTTCACTTATACCATTACTAAACAACTATTAATTTAAAATTAATATGCACACAACTACAATTAATTTTTTTTTTTTTTTTGTTAAAAAACAATTGAAATAAAATTAATGATATATTTATACTTTTAATACTTAATAATTATACTAACTATATTGCTTTTTAATACCAGATACTATTTTTTATTTTTCTATTCTAAAATTTTTTAAATTTTTTAATTAAAATATTAAAAAATAAGCTCTTTTATTTAAACTTCTTTGGTATTGCAAGAATCAATTTATTTATGACATAAATGATGTCATTAATGATTAATTTATTTAAAATGATAAAAAAAACTATTATATTACTATAATATAATTATTTTAATATATATTCAAAATTATTTAATATTAATAAAATATAAAATATATTTATTTAATATTAATTTAATATAAAATATATTATTTAATATTTATTTAATATTGATTTAATATAAAATATATATTTAATATTTATTTAATAAAAATATATTATTTTTATGTAATCTAAAGATATTTATTTAATATAACTAAAAATAATTTTAAAAAAACATTCATAGGAAACCATTCGAAAATATAGCACATGCAACGCGGAACCCTGCAAATAAAATGAGAACACCCAGATTGGAACACAAAAGCAGAAATAAAGCAAAAAAATTTTTTTTTTTTTTATCATCGGCCACCTGACTACAACACGGATATTGTTAACACAGGCTATTGTGATGAGACCAAGGCTGAGCTGAGGAGCTGGCTACTATGGTAACGTGTGGGCCGCTTCTATTTCAATCGTGGGGTGATGGGGGGATAATCCATCCCACTGGGAAGCAGGGGCTTCTGCTCCTCCGCATCTTCGGGAGTGGTTACTTCCTGTTGGAAGGAAAGGGAATATAGACCCGACCTTGGTTCGGGAGGATGCGCGCGATGATGACGTCATTGAGTTGGGGTGTTCACCTCCCTCCGACCTTGACGTGAGGGAAGGGCGACCTTGAAAGGCAGCTCCCGACCTTCATTTGCCCTCTGATGACCCGATACTTCCTTCGGGTGGCATTGGTACGGTCAGGGCGCACAGGCTACGGTCAATCACTTGTGTTTTTGGGGGGGACCTGCGGAACACGTCATACGCGCCTCTGTTCCGGATTCACACATGTCCGGGGCT